CCGGCCATCCTGCCGAGCTGCTACGCTTCCCGGGTGGGTGGAGCCCTCGGGCGGGCCTGGCAGGCGGTGGGGAGCTGCGGGCGGGAAAGGTCGGGCGGCTGGAGCCCGGGGCCGGAGCACCGCGAGGAGCCAGGGGAACCCAGATCCGGGGACCGAATGTGCCCGCCGTGCTCGCCCCGCCCGGTTCTCCCCCGAATCTACCGCGTTTGTGGTTGAGGCGGGTTTGGTGTGGTCTCATCCAAAGGTGTCTGAGAATGAAGAAACCGAGCCTCATGCCGACCTTACCCTAATTGACCTGTGCAAAGATGGTTTACCTGGAGCTCCGTGGTTGCCGTCTGTGGCCATCATTGGCTTTCTCACTTGTTAGTCCTGTGGTCGCTGTGTCCTGTCCGTCGGTATTGGATGCGTCCATGCTTTTATTTTTGCACGGCTGTATTAATCTGTAATTGATGTACAGTAACGTGCATATGTGGGAAGTGTGCGACGAGCTTCGACATAATTATACACCCGTGAAACTCTTCACAATCGACTATCTGTCATCCCCAAAAGTTTGCTAGTGCTGTTTTGTTTTTGCTTGTTTTATTTTTTACTGTTGATAGTATTACAGATATCTTCCATTGCCACCCCTCCTCCCCCAACTCTCAGTCCCTCCCCCCTTCCTGATGCTGTTTTGTAATCCATGTCTCAGATTTCTGTTTGTTTTTTAAAAATATACTGTCATCATTATTATTATTTTAAACTTATCTTTATTGATTTCAGAGAAGAAGGAAGAGGGAATGGAGTGTTTCTTAGCCTTCTTTTAGAGAGAGATAGAAACATCAATGATGAGAGAGAATCATTGATCAGCTGCCTCCTGCATACCCCCCACTAGGGGATTGAGCCGCAACCCAGGCATGTGCCTTTGCCTGGAATCTAACAGGAAACCTTCGATCCGCTGGCTGACTACGCTATCCATTGAGCAAACCAGCTAGGGCCAGGTTTCTGTTTTGTTTTTTGTTTTGCTGTTTCCCCTCTCAGGGGTTTTGTGGCATATTTTTTAATTTTTAAAGTAAAATATGATCTTGAAAGTGCTTATAAAAATATCTGCTGAAACCGGTTTGGCTCAGTGGATAGAGCATCGGCCTGCGGACTGAAAGGTCCCAGGTTCAATTCCGGTCAAGGGCATGTACCTGGGTTGCGGGCACATCCCCAGGAGGAGGAGTGCAGGAGGCAGCTGATCAATGTTTCTCTCTCATCGATGTTTCTAACTCTCTATCTCTCTCCCTTCCTCTCTGTAAAAAATCAATAAAACATATTTTTTAAAAAAATATCAGTATTCGGATAACCAGGAGACAGCATAAGGCTTACAAAACAAGGAGAAGGAAATGGGGGAAATGCTATTTTGAATATTGTCCTAATCTTTAAGCCAGCCATTCTACAAATGTTAGAAATACTTCCTTTGAGGTAACTGCTCCCCAGTGTGCCTGGATACTGCTGCATTTTCTCAGGGAAGCGCCTGCAGCTTCAGGGGAAGGTCTGAACCTGTGTAGTGATGTAGTAAAATAAAACTCAGACTTGAGTCAGGACCAGAAGTTTAGTTCAAACTATTCTAATGTAGATGAAAAGCCTCATTTTTGTGTGTTTCTCTCTTTTTTTAGAAAGATCAACTGAAATTGGCAAACTTCTGAGTTCTTATTTGGAAAAGAAGAGTGAGGTGGAGGATCACTCAGTGCACCTACTTTTCTCTGCAAACCGCTGGGAACAAGTGTAATACCATTGCCCTCCATCTCTCCCCCAACGCTTTTCTCCCTCTTGAGATTCAGGAGGGGAGTGGATAGTGATGCCAGAGGCTGTGCCTTTACAAGGTTCTTTTATTCACCAGTCCTGTGACCAGATCTAATCGCTGTGTGCCCCCAAAGAGCACTGATTAATGCTTTTTCTGCCTCCTGCCCACCACCTTCTTTGTAATTAATTAATTTCCTTTAGGTAGCTTTAGGTTTACGGAAAGGGTTATCAGGAAGTACTAAATTGTCCCATACTCCTGTCCCTTCCTCCTGCTCCCCACAGTTTTCTTTCTTTTTTTTAAATCTATTTTTATTGATTTTTTTACAGAGAGGAAGGGAGAGGAATAGAGAATTAGAAACATCGGTCAGCTGCCTCCTGCATACCTCCTCTTGGGATGTGCCCAAAACCAAGATACATGCCCTTGACCAGAATCGAATCTGGGACCCTTCAGTCCGCAGGCTGATGCTCTATCCACTGAGCCAAACCGGTCAGGGCCCCCCAGTTTTCTTGATTATATATTTGTTTAACTGAAGTTCACAGTTTATGTTGGTATCTCATCCTCTCTCCCAACCCTTTTTTGTTTTACATCTTAGTAGAGTCCTCTTAACTTTTAACTGTTTACTGAGCGATATGGTGTGTGCTTTCAGAGGCTCTTGTTTCCATTTACACGTATGTAGATAACACAGCATTGGAGTTGTTTCATTATAAATGAATGGGAACCTACCATACAAATAATTTTGCAGCTGCTTTCTAACTGCCTTACAGACCTTTGATATCTGAAGGAGGCCTCTCCTCCCTCTTTCCTAGTGCTGTAGCCTGCTCTCCAGAAGGGCGTTCACAGCAGATGTTGATGGACATTCACGGGTTTTGCATTGTCCCTCTTACAAGCAGGGACTATGCTCTCCTCTCTGCTTAGCTTGCTATCTTGCTTGGAAAGGCCTTCCCCACTGTAATACCTCTCTAAGGACACCAAGACCATTTTTATAATCTCACATCTCCAATTTATGGATGTCATTGTTCTGATTTTGTTTTGTCTTTGTGGCTTTGTAGAAAAGTAATGTAGGCCCAAACCAAAATGAGAAATAATGCTAACTATTTCCTAAATAGTGGTCTTGTCCCTGGTGTGGAAAAGACCTCCTGTCGGTTGTCCCTCTGTTCTGACACAACACATAGTCCCCTTTGCAGATCATTGCAGCCACTACTGTCAGATTAGTGTTCCTAACACCTGAAAGTCCTTGGGTGATAGGTCAGGTGCTGAGTTCATAAGTGGTACCATTGTCCACCATCTCTGTGACCTTGGTGTCTTGCTCAGCCCTCAACTACAGCTTCATCATTGGCACAACAGTGCCCCTTGTAGGTCTGGTGTGACAGTCACCTGAAGTCAGCCAGGCAGGGTGGGAGCAAGTGCTTGGTAAGCCTCGGCTGTTTTGATTTCTCCCTTGTACTTGAAGCACTTTGTGCGGAAACTGATTATTTCCTCCATTTAATCTTTCACCCTTAGTTTTGCTTCATCTGAACGGGGTTGATGGTGGTCCCTGAAAATACCTCAAAACAATGGGGGTAACACCCTCCAGATCCCTCCCTATCTCCTTTTACCAAAACCTGCCTGCCCTCTATGGCCTTAAATATCTCCATGCAGGAACGTATCCCTAGAAATAAGGGGTTTCTCTTCCTTCCCATGGCAATTTGCTACTCTGGCTGTTTTTAAACTTATGAAGTAATTTCAGTCAGCTGAAAAGGTTGTAAGACTAGAACCAAGAATTCCCATAAGCCTTTCACCAACCTTCACCTATGATTAACATTTGCCACATTATCATCTGCTCACTCTCTAAAAAGTTACAAACCATTTATAAAGTGCTGCATTTGTCTGATGTTTCCCCACAAGTAGACTTAGGTGTGCAGTTTTGGTTTTGGGTCCTTAGTGCTTTGGGCAAGAGGGAGGTGAGGCATTTAGCCATCATTTGCAGGTTCCCTGGGTCTCTTAGGAGGCTGCTGGCCAGGCCCTTCCACTAAGTGACTGTCTTTCCTGTTGTAAATAGTTAGAAGGGAAGCCCACCCGTATGACTCAGCGGTTGAGCATCGATTCGGTTTGATTCTGGTCAGGGCACATGCTGGGGTTGCAAGCTTGATTCCCCAATAGAGGGTGTGCAAGATTCTTTTTTTTTTTTTTTAAATATATTTTATTGATTTTTTTACAGAGAGGAAGGAAGAGAGACAGAGAGTTAGAAACATCAATGAGAGAGAAACATCGATCAGCTGCCTCCTGCACATCTCCCACTGGGGATGTGCCCGCAACCCAGGTACATGCCCTTGACCGGAATCGAACCTGGGACCCTTCAGTCCGCAGGCCGACGCTCTATCCACTGAGCCAAACCGGTTTCGGCAAGATTCTTATCATTGATGTTTCTTTCCCCCCCCCCTCTCTGAAATCAATAAAAATGTTAAAAAATACTTAAAAGGGGAAATACTACAAAACTATATAAACATCCCCTTCCTTAGCAAACTCTGACCCTCTGCTGTAGCATTCATGAATAATTCTGCCTGAGGCAGTCATTGTGATTTCAAAGGGCGACTTTATAATTCCATTTTTTCTATTTTTCTTAGTGGGCATTCTATGTAAGGAAGGGCTATCCTGTCTCCCCCATCCATTCGTCATCAGTGTGGGCTCAGATTTTTTAGTCAGCTGGTCACAAGCTACTCCTGTTTTTTGATGTTCAGGTTGTTCCAAATTTGGCTGGTGGGAGGCTTTTCAAGTTGGTCCATTGGTTGTGTTCCCGGGCCTTTTTTTTTTCTTAAATATATTTTATTGATTTTTTTTTTCACAGAGAGAAAGGAAGAGAGAAAGTTAGAAACATCGATGAGAGAGAAATATCAATCAGCTGCCTCCTGCACACCTCCCCATTGGGGATGTGCCCGCAGCCAAGGTACATGCCCTTGACCAGAATCGAATACGGACCCTCCAGTCCGCAGGCTGACGCTCTATCCACTGAGCCAAACTGGTCAGGGCCCAGGCCTTGTTTTTAAGAGCTTGCTTTTTGGTATAACAAGATGTTTAGGCTTCTCATGTTTTCTGCTCCAGCCTGGGAACCAGCTGTTTTTCTCTTGTGGGGAATGGTGTTTAGAAACCAACATCTGGGTGCTAGGTGTGCTCACTGCTAGTGGGGTGTCCCTTCTGGGGACAGACCTACACATTTGTCTGCTCTGCCTCTGTATCTGTTTATCGACTTTCGTTTCCCTTACCCGTGGTTTCACTTTTCATGTTTCAGTTACCCACTGTCAACCAAGGTCTGAAAATATTAAATGGAAAATTCCAGAAATAAACAATTCAGAAATTTCAAATTGTGCACAATTCTGAGTCACAGGATGAAATCTTGAAATGTCCTCTGTCCCTCCCGGGATGTGACTCACCTCTTTTGTCCAGCATCTCCACACTAGATCAGCGGTTCTGAACCTGTGGGTCGAGATCCCTTTGGGGGTCAAACGACCCTTTCACAGGGGTCACCTAAGACCATACATATTGTTTTTGTGATTAATCACTATGCTCTAATTATGTTCAATTTGTAACAATGAAATTGGGGGGTCACCACAACATGAGGAACTTGTATTAAAGGGTCGCGGCATTAGGAAGGTTGAGAACCACTGCTGTAGATGCTACCTGTTCATTAGTCACATCAGTTTGTGTTCAAGTCACTCTTATTTTACTTAATGATGGCCCCAAAGCTCAAGAGTAGTTATGCTGGCAATTTGCATATACCAAAAGAAAAAATAAGGGCTTCCTTTAAATGAAAGGTGAAAGTTTTTCACTCAAGGAAAGAAAAACATATGGTGAGGTATCACTACAGTAGGAACAAATCTGCTTATGAAATTGCCCAATTTATAAGTTCAACTTTATTATATATATCATATATATATATATATATATATATGAAAAAACATAGAGTATATAGGGGTTTGGTACTATTTGTGGCTTCAGGCATCCCCTGGGGGTCCTAGAATGTATCTCCTGCAGATACGGGAGATGACTACTCATATCTACACTGAAACTCAGTTCATGCTGACACCCGTTGCAGTCCAGCCTCACAGGCTCCCCCACAGTTTTCTTGTTTATATCTTTGATTAACTTCACAGTGAAACAAGTTCCCTATTGAACCACAGACATCACTGAGTGGTTCTTTAGGGGACCTGCCCGCCCGTGGTCCACACCTCTGTAAGAGCCTGCGTAGTGGTCAAGGTGGTGGGCAGCTCTGTCCTTAGCACCTGGGCACAGAGAGTGCTGTGTTCAAGTCTCTGGGGCAGGTTTTCCCTTCCCTGTGTGTTCATGTGGGATATGGTTATGTTCATTCAACTATACAATTTTAGGGTTTTTTTCCATCTTTGTTGATTTAATTTTCATTTTGTTTAAAATATATTTTATTGATTTTTTACAGAGAGGAAGGGAGAGAGATAGTGAGTTAGAAACATCGGTGAGAGAGAAACATCGACCAGCTGCCTCCTGCACACCTCCTCCTGGGGATGTGCCCGCAACCCAGGTACATGCCCTTAACCGGAATCGAACCTGGGACCTTTCAGTCCGCAGGCCGACGCTCTATCCACTGAGCCAAACCTGTTTCGGCTAATTTTTATTTTTTAATTCATAAAACATTATATGGTTCTAAAAGTTAAAACCATACAAAATATGTCACTGCCCTTCCCATTTCCCATCTGTCCAACACTTGTCCTCTGCTGTGGGGAATAGTGTCCCCTCCTTAAGTATTTATTTATTTATAAAATGAGCAAATAGGTATGTGTCGTCCTGATAACCTTTTTTTGTGTGTGTGATACACCTTATTGAAAAGGTAGTCAGCCATATGTACTTGTTTGTACTTTGCTTTAGTAGTGACACATTAGGAGACTGGTTTATATCTCCTTATGGACGTCTTTCTCGTTTTTTTAAAAAAATATTTTTATTGATTTCAGAGAGGAAAGGAGAGAAACATCAGTGATGAGAGAATCATTGATAGGCTGCCTCTTGCACGCCCCCTACTAGGGGATCAAGCCCGCAACCCGGAATGTGCCCTTGACCGGAATCAAACCTGGGACCCTTCAGTCCACAAGCTGACGCTCCATCCACTGAGCCAAACCGGTTAGGGCTTTCTCATTCTTTATACAGTTGCACCTTCCCAGTTGTGCATGTGACATACTTCCTGTTTGCAGGTTAGGTAGTTTTTTTAATGGCTTGGAATCACAAATGAAGCTGTGATGAGAACTGCATCTCGCTGTCGCAAGTGTGATCTCCCGTCCCTACTCTTCTGTGGGCTTCTCCAGGTCACAGGTGGCAAAAATCCTTTTGTTCCCCAAAGTGCAAGCGATGCTTCTTGCTGACCTTTGTCAGACCTTTGTCTTTGCTCATCTTCCTAAGCTACTGTCACCTGTGAGAATGTTCTCAGCATCATCTGGCCGAGTGCACTGCTCCACTCTTGCCCACAGGCTTCCCTGCCATCTTTGTCAGTGATGTCTGTGGTTCATTGGGGGACTTGTGTTTCACATTGGGCTTTGCCGGGAGTCCACCTCCTCCTGTGTGGCATCTTCTAGGAGGAGATCCAGAGCTCCTTTTTTTTTTTTTTTTTAAATCTTTAAATAAGAATAAGGTTACAAGTCACTGGCCCGTAATCCGTCAGGTTACTGAATTACTGAATTGTCATCAGGATGATTGTAACATGACGGTTCTGGGGATGTGGAGTTGGGTCCATGGCTCAGAAGCATTTTCTGTTTTTTTAGGCCATTGATTAAGGAAAGGTTGAGCCAGGGCATCACCCTCATCGTGGACAGATATGCGTTTTCTGGTGTTGCCTTTACCAATGCCAAGGAGGTGAGTGCTGCCCAGCCCGGTGGGATGCCGCTAGTGTGACTGTCTAGAGCAGGGCCATGACATCACACAGCAAGTTGTGTGGTCCTTATGTCCATCCGCTGGAATCTGGCCTTATCTAAGGGAAAGGCAAACACTGGTGTAGATGCAGCTTGTTTTCACATCACACATTTCCAGAGGTGGTCTGTCAGCAGGGCTTCCCATCCCAGCCTTGTGTCCAGACCAGATGGTGAGAGCATCTGGTGCTTTGTTTATATTTTCCTGACTTCCTGTCCCAGGTAGAATGGCAGTGACTGTACTGCCCCTTATTTCTGCTTTTTATTTAGAAAGTTTCAAATATGTACCAGCAGAGAAAATGATAAATCACCCAGTACTGTGACCGCCAGACACATCATTTGTTTCATAAATGTTTCAGTATGCATCCCCCAAATACTTTTTAAAAAAATATTCACCAGAGGATATTTTATTGATTTTCAGAGAAAGGGAGAGGGGAGAGAAAGAGAAACATTGATGTGAGAGTAGAACATTGATTGGCTGCCTCCTAGACACCCCCTACCTGGTATTGAGCCAACAACCTAGGCATGTGCCCTGACTGGGAATTGAACCAGCAATATTTCTGTGCAAGGGACCACGCCCAACCAAGTGGACCACACAGGCCAGAGCTCTATCCACTCTTGAATGTGCTTACAAAATTAAACCAGAAGGAGGTGCCATGGGAAATAGTAAAACATTCACGATCTAAAAAATCAAGTCACTACTGGGATCCTCACTTCTTGCTGTCTCAAGAAATGGTAGCTCGTTTCCCCTCCTTTTGTATGGATTTTAAAACAACACATTAGACCCCATTCAGCTTCTTTCTCTGATCATCAGTTTCTTTGCTGCAGAACTTCTCTCTGCATTGGTGCAAGCAGCCAGACGTGGGCCTTCCCAAACCAGACCTGGTCGTGTTTCTTCAGCTGAGGTTGGCAGAGGTTGTGGAGCGGGGCGGGTTCGGCCAAGAACGCTATGAGGATGGGGCCTTCCAGGAGCGGGTACTGCAGTGCTACCACCAGCTCATGGAGGACAGGACCCTAAACTGGAAGGTGAGTCACCCTAGTGCCAGAGCTGCACCCAGGAGCGTGGGCACCCTCAGGTCCCGGTGCCAGCTTCTCAAAGTGTGGAAATTGGGTGTCTTGTAGGTGGGTTGGAGGACAGTTTGACAGGCACTAGCCCCACAGCAGCAATCCTCCCTGGTGGGTCCTTTCCAGAGCTGACTGCTCAGCAGGTTCCTGTCCTCTGCTGAGCATTAGCCATGTGACCTTGTCATCCAGAACATAAAATCCCTGAGTTACTCCTCACATCACCTTCCATGCTTATTGGAAGAGTAATACTTTATCTTCCAGTCTGTGCTTAGGTCCTTGCATCAGAAGTCTGAACTCGTCCATTTTGGGGGCCAGCCCTCAGTCCACCCCCTTTCAGCTGCTGGGTCAAAGACTGCCTCCCTTACGCCCCTTGTCCTGCACAGTGCCAGCTCCTGGGTGTTCCTGCACTACTTGTGGGGGGCATGCCTATCTCCTCACTAGCTCCTGGGCAGGAGACGGCTCCTGACTCTGCTGGCCTGGTCTGGGGTGCTTGAGCCCCGCTACCACCCCCATGGCCCACTCAGCCATCTCCCTGTGCTGGGGCTCTCCTTCAACTCAGCGCCCATCATCCGGTGCCCTGGTCTCAATCCCAGGCATCAGCCTTACTCCTCCCTCCCTGCAGATGAGCTACTGTCCTGCCAGCAGTGCCAAAGCAGATCCCACCACTGCCTTCTCTCGGGCACATCTGAGTGCCTGGGCTCTAGGGGTCAGGCAGTGCTGCAGGTGCCACCCCAGGCTTGAGAGAGACACTTTTATCCTTTGTTGACCAGGTCCACTGCCGGTCACACGCTGCATCCGTGTGACTCTGAAAGGTTAAGCTGTTGACCCTGTCATCTGGCGTGTGCTTCCCCACCTCCGTCCTAGGAGCTGAGCCTGCTGCTGGGGTGGGCTCGTTTCTCTTCTCTTTCATGTGTGCTCAGGTCAGTGCGGAGCCACATGGCCTGTCTAGGGTGACCACGAGCCCTTCCTCCCCATGAGGGAGTAGCAACATAGAGCCTCACATGGCTTTCACATGTACTGGTGGAATGTCTCACACTGAACCCTGGAGTCAGTTTCACATGATTTAAATGATTCACATAACACATTTCAACATCTGTAAGGATCAAGCCAAGAATGTAGAGTGCTAGGAATATGAATCAGAAAACTTTATTTCCTACTGGCCCACACTGGTGCTCATCTCTCCTTCCACGTTTCCAATCATGTTTTGTTTCCCGCAGCCTTAAGAACTGCCTTTTCTTGTAGGGCAGGTCTCCTAGCATAGAATTCTCAGCTTTTGTTTCTCTGAAAGTTTTTTGTCTTTTTTTAGCATTCTTTTTCAAAGTTTTTAAGCAATAAGATACTTCCAGAAAAGTTGCTAGTACAAAAACTTCCCGAGGACCATTTGAAAATTAATTGGTGGCTAACGCCCCTCACACCATCCAGTGTTGCTGTCTGGGAAGGTCTGTGTAAGAGCTGTGCTGCTGGAGCAGTGGCTGGCGAGGTGACCTTCTGGGTGTACTTGTGTGGGGTCTCAGGAGTCATTCTCATTTCTGCCTAGTCAGACCTCATTATTGCATTTTTCTGAGTTCGTCTACACCCCCCAGGAGCTTTTCCAGAATTGGCTGTTCTTGGCCTAGACCGGTGATGGCGAACCTTTTGAGCTCGGCATGTCAGCATTTTGAAAAACCCTAACTTAACTCTGGTGCTGTATCACATATAGAAATTTTTTGATATTTGCAACCATAGTAAAACAAACATATTTTTGATATTTATTTTATATATTTAAATGCCATTTAACAAAGAAAAATCAACCAAAAAAATGCGTTCGCCATCACTGGCCTAGACCTAGATCGATGGTAGGAGGAGGACTTGAATCCCCACCCCAGTCTTCCATATCCTGGTGGAGTTGTTTTCTCGTGGGCTGGCTCCCTTGGTACCAGAGGTCCTCATGCTTTCCATGAGAACACAGTATTTAACGAGTGAATTTTGTGGCCGAGGATGTGTGGGAATATAGCCTAGCACAGGCATTGCCCTCTCTGCCTCCTCAGCCAGACCTGAGGAGAGCTGATGTGTGGTTACCTGGGGGAGTCACGGGGAGGGGGAAGACGATCAGGAGGGTGGGGTGTTTATTCTGCATCTGGGATGCAGCAGGTATGTGGGTTAGCTTCATCCCAAGGATACAAGCAAAGCCCTCCCGGCCCAGCTGGGGCTGAGGGTCAGAAAGGTGTGAAGTACTCCAAGGGGTCTGTACTGTGCCCTTCCCAGACCCAGCCCTGTCTGAAATCCACATGTTTACCGACAAAGGTGAAGAGTATTAACCATCCTTTTTCTCCTGACATCCCATGGGAATAGGTGGTTGATGCTTCCAAAAGCATTGAAGATGTCCACAAGGAGATCCGCACGCTCTCTGAGGATATCATCCAGGCCGCAGCGCAGAGGCCGCTGGGGAAGCTGTGGACATAAATGTGGAGGGACTGTCCCCTTCCCTGGGTCCTGCGAGGCCAGAGCCTTATGAAAGGCTTGATGTGCCGAGTGTTCACATTGCACAACGTGGGGGCTGTGCACAAGTCAACAACAAGCAGAGCTACGATGAGCCTCTCGAGAGGCCTGGGCACAGGGACTTCGTGGTATGTCACTCAGCCTTCCTCTGCCCTCTTTCACCCTGAGGATGTTGATAAATCATTGCGCCTTTTATTGAAATTTAATGATAACCATATCCAAGCAGGTTCAAGATAATTGATGTGGCAATCAGTTTAAAATCTGAATTTCTTAGAGGCATGAATAAAAGTTACTTTGAAAGTACGTGGTTGAAGGCCTCCTCTCCTTAGAGTCCTTCTGGGTGGGAGGGCCCTACGCTGGCCCAGTAGGCTTCTCTGGACCACCCCCATTGGTCTGGCCTCACTGGGTCTGGCTGGCTGTGTCTTGAGGTATGATGTCCCATTTCATCTAAACATAGTTGGTACCTTTTTAAAAATATATATATTTTTATTGATTCAGAGAAGAAGGGAGAGGGAATCATTGAATGGCTGCCTCCTACATGCCCCCTACTGGGGATTGGACCTACAACTGGGCATGTGCCCTTGACTGGACTCAAACCTGAGACCTTTCAGTCTATAGGCCTATTCTCTATTCACTGAGCAAAACCAGCTAGGGCCAGCTGGTGCCTTTGTTCTTTCTGCTGTGGTCCTAAATGCCAGGAATATGATTTCATTCCATTCTATCTTGAACTGCTCTAACGTATACAGCATGGTCTGGTAGATGTGCTGATGCCCAAAGGTGACCTGCTCCCATCAGCAGGGCTACAGTGAGCAACTCGAACCCCGTGTGAGCAGATACCAGAACCACACCCCCAGGACCGAGTGTGCAGACACCAGCCGTCCTCATCTGTTGTGCCTTGTGTCCTCAAGGTGATATGGAGGGGCCAGGCAGCCTGGTTACATCCTGCCCCTGTCCATGTGGGCATGAAGGGCAGCCTTATCTGTGGACCCCAGATAAGCGTGGACCCTGCCTAGTCCACCCTTCCTAGGAGAATCCACCAGGTGCTGCACAGGTATCCCCTCTGTTCAGACAGCACTTTGGGGCTCAGTGCCCTTCTGAAGCCAGGACACTGGATTCTAGGCAGAAAAAAAAGATGTGGTATTTGCTTAACCCCTGAGTTGTAAGTGGTCAACTGACAGTTCAGACCAGACTGAGGCAGAACCTACATTTGGCTGGGAGGTCCTGCATAGCAGTGGCAGCCAGACCCCAGCTCCCCCAAGCTACCCAGGCTGCCAGGCCCTCTGTCCTGGTCCCTCCATATCACCTTGAGGACACAAGGCATGACAGATGAGGACGGCTGGTGTCCGCGCACTCAGTCCTGGGGGCGTGGTTCTTATATCTACTCATGGGGTTCGAGTTGCTCACTGTAGCCCTGCTGATGGGAGGTTGTCTGTGGGCGTCAGCACATCCACCAGACCACACTATACACCTGTGAGGTCAGAATTCCAGCAGTCACACCGTCAATCGTTTTCATTAAGACACTCCCTGGGTCCCCTACTGGGACACGCCTATCACTCACCTGCCTGGTTGACTTTTTACATAACCAGGTCCCATCTAGAATGAAAAGGAAACTGGGTTGATTTCTTGAGACCTGAACCAGTAGCTCCCCTGCCTTTGTGGACACATCAGGATCAGGCTGGCACTCACGGAGAGGTCGTGGCTGTCAGGGAGGGTTGGTATTGGCAGTGGGCATGGGTGAGTTGACCAGAGGGAGATGGGTGGGTCCAGGCTGTGCCCTAAGCACCCAGCACAGGCTGGGATGAGGGCTGAGTGTGGACCCCTCAGCTGGAGCTGGGAAGGGCTGGAAACTGGACTAGGAACTTTCTCTGCCGAGGGTCAGGATGCTGGGATGAGGTGGAGGTTTTAGTAGAGACCATCCTCTCGGAGCTGTGGGGTGAGAGATGAGCAGGCTCAGAGGCCGGAGCTGAACAGAGCCCCACAGGTGGTAGGCAGTGGAGCTGGGCGAAGGTAGAAATGGGCTGACTTTCAAATCAACAAGGCCACTTAAACTTTCCTCAATAAATACAGCACTCGTCAAACAGCCTGGCCAGGGTTGTGGCAGCAGGTTTAGCTGAGGGACTGTTTGCCTCCCAGCACCCTAAAGAAGCCTTTGAGGCATTGACAGAAAAAAGGCCTCCAAAGACACCTGCATTCTCAACCCTACAACCTGTGAAGAGCACCTCTGTCTCAAGGTCCCTAAAGGCAGAGGGACCTTGAAACAGCCGGCCATCCTAGACTGTCCAGGAAGGGCCTCCAACAGAGAGAAGCAGGAGAGGCCGAGCCAGAGGGAGGGTGCAAAGGCATCTTCACTGAGGGTGGAGGGCAGGAGGGCAGCTTCCAGAAGCTGGACAAGGCGAGGAAACGTCCCAGGTGCCACAGGAGGAGCGTGCCCTGCTGACATCTTGTTTGACCACTGCCCTCAGGACCTGAATGTTGTTTGAAGCCACTGGGCAAGATTTGTTACAGCAGATGCTAACAGAGGCCATGACTCGGGTTCCTGGGCCACCTCACCTGGGGACCAGCACAATGTTTCCTGCTTTCTTTTCTGGCATTGGTCCCCTTGCACCTAAACGGAGGACAGGTGGCAGGAAGCAGGGAGCCAAGTAGGCTAGCCACCCCCTGCACTGTCCGGCTAGGACATCTCAGGCACAGTAAAGGAATTGGCTGAGGCACTGCCTTCGGTCAGTAGTCTCGGCTCACCAGAGGGACAACGAACTTTTTCTCAGCAGGTTTAAAGAGAAGTTGAGTGAACAAGCCCTGATTCTTTATAGCTAAGAATGGGTTATTGTGTGTTTTCCTAAACCAAGTTTCCTCGTCCTCTTTGCTTTAGGACTACAGGAAGCATGTCGCAGCTAGCAGAGCCTTGTCAGGTGAGGTCCGTCTGCCTGTGGGGGAGATGAGCTTGCCATAAGTCCACAAATCCTCACTGAGATCCATGGACATGAGCTTAGAAAATGTTCATTCTTATTCCATCACTACAACTCTAACGAGGAAAGGTCAAGACAGAGACAATAGACTTTGTTTTCTACTGAAACTGTTATTTGCGATGAAGAACTGCAAACTACTAAGAATGGACAACACTCTCTTCAGTAATCCTTTCAAATCACTAAGACAAAGCTCCCCTTTGGCCAGGCTGTCACCCACTTCCACCGTCTGCACCACACGGGCTGCAGTAAGACTCCCTGGCCCAGCAGGCAGGGTGGCACATTTCCAAGATGCAGCAGAAGGAATGGAGACCGCCCAGCCTTCCTCCTTCCCTGGAGGAGGGAGAGACGAGAGCAAATTAACTTATGTCGGCGACACTCAGGGGCTGGGTGCTCTCTGCCATCAGGTGGGCCCCCGCGCGCGGTCCCAACTGCAGATGCCGAGGGAGGGAGGGGCTCTGCAAGGAAGACCCCCGGGAAGAAGGCGCCACCTCCCTGAGCTCCCCAGGTGCCTGTCCGAAGGTCTCACGGAGGCTACTCTTCAGGACTCGAAGCCTGCATGGAAGCCATGCTCTCTGGGCCCAACCAGGGTTCAGGGCTGCAGGTGCTGTCAGTCAGTGCTGAGAAGGACCTGGAAATGTCTCCAAGTGACGTGATGAGCGATGGGGTGCCTATCTTGCACCATGAGCAGGGTTTCACCCTTTGGCCCCAAACCATCTGAAGCTTCGGTACCAGGAGGGCAGTTCTGTGGTGCCCTTAGCCTCTGCCTGCCAGGCTTGCCGTGCCCCCATGTCCCGCATGGGCCCAAGGATCTCAGACCAAGGCAGCTCCCCACTCACCCACCACCCACGGCCCACCCAGGGAAAGCCAGTGCAACAAGTAAGCAGTAGCACGTGGGCGTCTCAAAATGCTGGAACCAAAAGGTGAGGAAAGTGAGTCCACTTGGGCTCTACCTGTAGCTCTTTCCTGGCAAGTCACACGCATGGTGGTCTCTGGTTTGCACCATGCCCCACCTCTCTGCTATTTCTCTCTCCAAAGCCAAGAGATGTCAGGTGGTGACTCCTTCCTGTCTCCCACTAGTCAGCCTGGTAGAGCCATGGGAGGGCTGCAGGTGGAGGGCTTGCAGGCTTAGTCCCAGGGCCACTTCTCATTTGGTCTCCAGTCTTCTTGGACTCAGAACAGGCCCAACAGAAATGCATGTCTGTGTAGAGTAACTTCAAACAGGACTTTAATTCCAAAGAAAACCTAGAACTGAGAGCCTGAAGGAAGCAGGACAAAGGTGACGTGAACATTCAAGCCCCGCCGCTGCTGCTCCCTGCGATTCCTGGTTCTCTCCATCAGCCCGAAGTGTCTGGGCTGAGCAGTCCCACTCCTGCAGTGAGGCCTTGAGCATAATGCAGTCCCCCATCGAGGGCAGAGGCGGCCAGGACATGGGCGGTGGGCAGGTGGGCAGGATGGATGAAATGCGGTGGCACCAAGCGCCCTGAGGCCAAGCTGGGCTCTCAAAGGCACCCCCAGCAAGAGCCAGTCGAGATATCCCCCGACTTTAGGATTTTCAAAGGGACAAGATTTCGAAGTCCTCATCTTCTGAGTCAAAGAATCTTTCCAGTCGCTCTACATCAGAAGAATCTAGAAGAAATAAGACAAAACCCCATCAGACACCTGCATGGGTTACTCTGAATGTGGGGATGAGACAAGCAGCTAGGTGTGCATCAACCACACCTGCTGGCTTGCTTGTGCTGGAGCTAGCCCTGGCCCGGTGGCCAGCAAGCAAGGGTGCTTGCTCAGGGTGGTAGGCGGCAAGAGGGCATCAGGACTCTTGCCAGCAGAGGTGCAGCCTTCAGGTCTGAGTTGGCCAGGGGCCTCACTGGCAGGGATGGAAGCAGGAAAGAGATGCCAGAAACTTACCAAGAGGAGGAGCAGACACATCGCTCACCAGAGCCGAGGGGCACATGACGGGGCTGAGGGCGAGGGCCACCAGTCCCAAGAGGAGTGCCAACCCTGTACCATCTGGGACAGACGGGGCACCTGTCCTGAGTCTCAATGCCAGCACCCTGACCCCAATGTGGTTTCTGTCAGGCAGCAGGCTCCATCCTCCTCCTCAGTGATCTTCACGGAAATGGGACAGCTGGCTCCGTCATCATCCTCAATGATCTTCACGGAAATGGGACAGTGGGCTCCATCATCTTTGTCCTCAGTGACTTTCAATACACAGTTCCACAGGCTCATCATGGTCCTCACATTGGTCTTCCCGGGTACAGATGGAGGTGTGAACTGGATGTGCTCACAGCCTCAATGCCAAGTCTCCGTTTTCTGTGTGCCATATGCTCAGTATACTTG